GGGGCGGGGGGGGGAGGTTGCAGGTTTGCTGGCAGGGGGAGGTGTGGGAGGGAAGGGGCAAGGAAGGTACGTTCAGGGACAGGATGCTCCGCCCCACCCGTGGCTTAGATGTGAACGTGTCATCCGAGGGACACAATCTAAAGTTAAGTCCTGTTCAGGCTGAGCTCGACATTTTTCTGACTACAGAATTAATACCATCAAAACCTCAGCGTAATTAAGGCTTACATTTGCTGCCTTTCATAACGTCTGTGTCCTAAGTCGACGTTTACAAAAGTTTCCCGCATTTCTAGAACACGGCGATGTTTTGCATTCTAGCATTACGTTCACTAAATGTGAAAACTGGACCACATTCATTTCCTTAGCCATTTTCTAAACAACGAACGATTCTGCATACAAGTGAATACATCAAGTTATATAATAAGTCTGAAGTTTGCTACCATGCAATCTGCCACAATCTCCTAGAGGAAATCTAGCTGCTGCCCGATGAAGTTTTTAAAACGTGTAAGTTCAGAAAAGCGGTCCACATACCCTTTTCCAACAGCGTCTGCCGCAGAGCTCTGGCTAGTAAAACTCTCACGTTGGGCACAGGATCTGACACGAGGCTTAAAAGACTGGGGAGTAAGTGTTCGACAAACTGGTCTGCGGGGATACACTCCTCGCTCACCACCGCCTGTGATGGAAGAAAAACCACAGCCAAAAATTGATATTCAAGAGTGATCAGCACGTTTTTTCTAAAAACGTACACTTCTCTAATTCCAAGCCTAACTTGGTCACTTACTAGCTTCACAGCTTTGAGTACATGGCTTCACCTGTCTGGGTCTCAGTTTCCTCATCTGTGCAATGGGGAAGTGACGGGCAGGGCAGATCGCTTCCGCAAAGAATCTAGCAAAGCGCCCACCTGTTAAGGTTAAGAACCCTCACCTTTGTCACTCACCAGACCTCAGGTTCTGAGGGCAGGGACCACACCTGTCTTATCGACAGCCCAATCCCCATCTCCAATCCAGGCCGGGCCCTCTGCGAATACCCAACAAACACCGCCTCCGGGATGATCACCAGCACCTGCCCACCGCCACTCTGCTTACAGAGTCCCGTCTCATAGCCAGCCACGGGAATCAGCACAAGCCTAGTTTTACGGGTGAGGAAATTCTGGTCCAAAGTGGCGACGCCCAAAGGTCTCCCGATTCCAAGCTGAGCGTGTGGCTTCTAAGTCCTATACATCTTCCCACTACAGGGTAACAGCTGACATTTATTAAGTGCCTGGCAGTGTGCAAGGGGAGTCAAATGCATCAGTTCATCCCCATCTGCCACGTGGGCCCTCACTAAACCCCAGGTCAGGATCGGTCCCTGGAGCGGCACTGAAATTGCCATCAAATGACCCTTTCCTTTTGTCTGTCTTTCTGTGGGTTTTCTAAATCTTTAATAATTAATTCGTGAAAGCACATACACATTGATTTTTCTTGAACAAAATTAGCTGGGTGTTTCTTCCTTTTATCTCATCATGGATTTTCTAAATCTCAGATGGAGAACTAAAAAATAAAAGCAAAGGTATCTCATTCGCCCTTTCTCCACAAAATGACCTGGGGCACTGACTTCTTCTTTGCAGAAATCTGTGGCGTCAGGCCTGCCGTCTGTTGAGTTTGGCACTGAAATCCGTCAGTCACTGCACTTTGAAAAGCTGACCCCCAAAGTACCGTGTGATGCCCCTCCAGCCCAACAGGGGGCCCTGGTGAGTCCCTCAGTGGGGGAAGGGGGTGTGAGGGAGAGAAAGGGGGCTTTGGGGCTTGGGTGAGCTAGAGTCCCATTACAGCTCGACTGTAATATTGACAGAGCTGGGCGAGGGGTTCATGCAGAGTCATGCCGTCCCCTCCACCTTTGTACACGCTTGAACATGTGCATGGGGAAACATTAAAACTTCTCAAATAACACGTTAGCGGGAAAAGAAAAAATCACGGCTTTATGCTTCCTGTGTGATTTTGGCTGACTCACTTAACCTCTCTGGGCTTCAACTGCTTCCCCTCCAAGAAAAAAAAAAACAAAAAAACTGGTCTGAAAGTACCCAGGTGTGAGGTGCCTGACACACGGCACCTCTTGCCACTGAGGATCAGAGGTACCTGGCACGCAGAAGCATTCCAGAAGTGGCAGCCATCAGCCCCAGGCAAACCTCGACCCCACCATTTCCAGGACACTAAGTAGGGAGGGTGCCCAGGAGCTGGACCGGCTGACGTGAACTTCCCTGCAGAGATGAAATGGTCTCAGCCCCAACCCTACTGCTCTATTCTTCACCGCAGCTTCCCTCCAAGGCAGCTGGCTGAGGGGAGGTGCCACGATGGCCACTGCCCTGGACAGGGCAGGGGGGAGCAGGGCTGCGGGCCCGGCCCTCACCTCACCGGAGGGGAAGTGCTGCTGGGAGAGCAGGAGCGAGTTGGCTCCGCACCGTCTAGAACGTGCCTGGCACACGGCAGGCGTTCGGTCAGCACCTTCAGGACGAATGCACAGACGGGCTGGGGAAGCCCGGGCAAATCATTCTGCCTGACCGGGTCGGCCGCAATCTCCCGTGAGATCAAGGGGTTCGTTCGGTGCACTGATCTCCAGATGCCTGGCTGGTGTCCTATGTCTGACGCATCTGATATCAGTCCGTGGCAACGCAAGAAAATCCCAGCGGAGAACCCTGCCCTGCCCGGCCGCCCCAGGCCACGCTAACCTGACAAATGAAAGCGAAAGCTTGCCTTCCAACCCACTTAGCACAGTGCCGGAACCTTACGATGAGCTCATGGACGAAAGCTAACCCCAACGCGCTTTCACTGTGTGAATAGAACTTCTGCAGAATGGCCACAACCTGTAACAAATATCAGAAGAGCACATTTAAAATGCTGCCATCTATTTGAATTATGAATCCTACTCTACGTGGAGACTAGACATCTGTATGGCTCTTAAAATGAATTTATAAGCATGGGAGAGGGTAATTTTTGTCACGGTAATCATTAGAACACAGAGGAAAAAAGACTTGTGCAATACACGTACACTCACACATGTAGAACCCTTCAGAAAATGAAATTCAAAAAAGGACTAGCATTAGAAAAATACATTCTTAATCTTAAGATTTCCAAATTTTAGGAAACGTCCTCTTGCATAATAACGAAATCATTACCTTTCGGAACATGCCACGTTTGCAAAATTTTAATACACATCAGGGTACCTTAGTAAGACAATATTTCCAAATGAGATTCGATCCCCCCACCCAGTATTCAGCTGGTTATAAGCCCAGGTAAGAAACAGGATAAGCCTTTTTTTCCATGACAGAGCTTTTGCTTACTAACTGCTTTTCTGCAAAACCATGCCATAGGGTTAAGCCCAGCCTTGTGTTTAAGGAAACACTAAGCCATCATTTACAGGGTCTCATATAGAAAATGATTTATCCACAATTTCTATCACTGAAGCATACAGCTTAAGAAAAAGGCTATCTTACGTGCTGATAAAACCATAATGCAGTTCCTAATTTCAAATTTAAAAGCTGGCTTCATAGGTATACTGAAGAATCAGCCCCGGAAAGTAAAGGGGTTGCAATGGAAGAAACAGAAATGTTCCTATTTCCAAAAATCACAAACAAACAGACAAACAAAAAAGCCACGATTCCTTACAAGCTTGAAGGAGATCCATCGAACTTCAGAAACTTTATCTGCACACAACTTCAAGGCAATATGCATTAAATAATCATAAACATCATGGGGATTATAGAGTTCCAAAATGAGTATCAGCTGTCTGAAGAAAGAAAAAAAAAAGGAAATTGGTTTTTAGGGCAAAAAAAAAAAAAAATACCTTACTAATGTCTCCTTACACTCATTTCATTTTATAGATAAAAAGAGCCGGGCTGGGAAGTTAAGGGCACACGTGGACCTAGCGAGGCTTTCCGTCAGTAAAATGCCAAAAGCAGAAAGCCGAGGGAAATACCACGCAAAATAAAGTGGAAAAAGAAAATCGTCTGTCTTCATCTCACCCAAACGAATCCAACAAAAAGGAAATAAATTAAACTTTGTAAAACAGAGGCAGAGAAATTTATGAACAGGGATAATATTTCAATTCTGGGTTATCAGTTGGAAAGCACATAAAACTCTGAAAAATCAGATAACATAAAAATAGCCAGAACGCTGAAGTTCCCAGAGACCAACAGATCAGGGGAACCTCCGAGGAGCCTAGGCTTTGTGGCTTTGTTCCCCAAGCGGCCGGCAGGCAGCTCGG